AAATCATACGACAAAGTTCCCAGTGATTTTCCACCATGCTCTCATGTGATTTCAGCGTGCTATACCCCTCTCAACTCCTCCCCAGTTAGTAAAATCCCATTGTTTTCTGACCCTGTCCCAGTTGCGAGCTAGTATTCAAGCTAGGCCGTTCTCCTCTTTCCCCTCCCTCCGTCCCTGTATTAGTAGCTTTGTCCTGCGGCTTTGAAGTCGCAGGACCGAAGCATGTAAAACCGAGGCGGTTGCCTCAGTCATTTTTTTACATTTTATGTAATTGTTTAGAGTCATAATAAATATTCTTAATACCTGAGAACAGAATTTAACCATGGACATTGCCTCAGACATTATTTTTCCACGGAAATTGTCTCGGTCATATAATTTTTTTTTTCTGGCTACGGCCCTGAGTCGGCTATACCTATTTCTGTTATGTGCTTTGTTTAGTAGTTTGCTTATGTTATTTCTCATAGGCGGTGGCCCCCCACGTTTCGGTGCCGAAAATATCGTTAGCGCAGCTTAAAATTAGTTTGACAAAATATCCCGTTTGGTGACCTTTTCACAAATCGTTTCATCACGCTCGCACTTGGTGAAATAATATTTTGTAGGATTTTTTGAACAGCTCCAGGCTGTGTTCCTTAGAAGTACCATGAAGAAGGATCGTCTAAACAACTGCCTCCAGCTGCATTTGTCATAAGTCTATTATGGACCATTGAACACTGTAGACATTGCAAAGAAATTTGTTTGAGCAAATGATCAACACAAAAGACATTTTGAAAAAATACGAGTAGAGGTATGCACTTGGCGATGAGCTCCCTCATGTTTCAAAATGTTCCACCGCCTTCGATCTGTTTCTGCTTGCATCAAAAGCTGATAGGGGTTCTGGGGCATGCACACTCAAAAAATTGTTATTGTCTTAAAAAATCCTGTTGTCAGCATTTTCCAGTCTGCATTTGTGTCTAAAGAATAATCAAACCTATGGCTTTATTTACCACGTTTTACAACAACTTTCCTTTGATTGTCCTTTTATTAAAAAAAATGTCCCAATCAGAAAATCTTGCCTATTTATAATCCTTACAACAGTGGTTTGCAGACATGCAACTAATGAGCGCCATGCAAGACATGTAAAAAGTTGCCATTAAAAAACTTAATCACAGTCCTCTAGAAAAGAGCGAGAGTTAAAAAGGCATACTCAGCCATAGCCGTGTTGCTTCCTTTGGTATGTACGCCATTTTGGCACGTAGAGGAAGTCTGGGATTCAGTTCTGTGGCTTTTTTTTTTTTTCATAAATGTCCTTTTCATTTAATTTCCTGTAGCGGAAACACGAGCGTCTT